TTTACAAAAAAATTATCATAAAAAAAAAATATTATTACATTATAATATGAATGATTATTCTAATATATGAATTAACTATTTTTATTTTATTAAAAAGGAATCATTAAATAAAAAATATTGATTATATTATAATATGAATTATCATTACAATTTTCAAACGTTATTATAAAGTCAAATTAAATTATTGATTTGAAATTTTAAATTAAATCATAATTAATCAGATCAGACCAGATCAGATCAGATCAGATCCAATCAGATCAGATCAGATCAGATCCAATCAGATCAGATCCAATCAGATCAGATCAGATCCAATCAGATCAGATCAGATCCAATCAGATCAGATCCAATCAGATCAGATCAGATCAGACCAGATCAGATCAGAACTTATTAGAATCAGATCAGATCAGAAAAAATAAGTTGAACGGAACGGAGCCTTAACCTGAAAAGATGGATAAGTATGGTGTTTGTTTGAGAACAAAATTTGCAATAGAACTACGTGGTGTGTTATTTGTAAATTTAAGCTGCGTGGGATGTTATGTGTACATTTTAAAACCTGATGTGTATTGCTCCGTATTTTAATAGTGCTTAGGCTCCGTTCCGTTCAACTTATTTTTTCTGATCTGATCTGATTCTAATAAGTTCTGATCTGATCTGGTCTGATCTGATCTGATCTAATTGGATCTGATCTGATCTGATCTGATTGGATCTGATCTGATATGATTGGATCTGATCTGATCTGATTGGATCTGATCTGATCTGATCTGGTCTGATCTGATTAATTATGATTTAATTTAAAATTTCAAATTAATAATTTAATTTGACTTTATAATAACGTTTGAAAATTGTAATGATAATTCATATTATAATATAATCAATATTTTTTATTTAATTATTCCTTTTTAATAAAATAAAAATAGTTAATTCATATATTAGAATAATCATTCATATTATAATGTAATAATATTTTTTATTTTATGATAATTTTTTTGTAAAATTAGAATTATACATTGGAATAAATATTTAATTTAGATGTACATTTAAAAGTAATTAAATTTAGATAATCAATATATAGAAGAGATAGTATTTTTATTAAAATATCTCATCCTTATAAAAGATCAAAAGTTTAGAAACTCAAATTACAAGTAGCAATAAAAATATATTTTAAAAGTAGAATTAGATTGACATTGTCAATGTATTTTAAAACTAATTTTTCCGACGTCTAATAATTAAGGATTACTTTCTCAGCTTTTTATTTAACCTATTTCTAAAGTTTATTCTTTTTCATTTTTAAGAACAATANAAAATTAGAATTATACATTGGAATAAATATTTAATTTAGATATACATTTAAAAGTAATTAAATTTAGATAATCAATATATAGAAGAGATAGTATTTTTATTAAAATATCTCATCCTTATAAAAGATCAAAAGTTTAGAAACTCAAATTACAAGTAGCAATAAAAATATATTTTAAAAGTAGAATTAGATTGACATTGTCAATGTATTTTAAAACTAATTTTTCCGACGTCTAATAATTAAGGATTACTTTCTCAGCTTTTTATTTAACTTATTTCTAAAGTTTATTCTTTTTCATTTTTAAGAACAATAATAATAATAATAATAATGATGATGATGATGACGATGATGATGAAGATGATCATAATAATAATAATAATAATAATAATATAATAATAATAATAATATAATAATAATAATAATAATAATAATAATTCTTGATGAGATCTTATTTTAAAAAGTCTTGATCTGATCTGATCTGATTGGATCTGATCTGGTCTGATTGGATCTGATTTGATCTGATTGGATCTGATCTGATCAGATTGGATCTGATCTGATCTGATTGGATCTGATCTGATCTGATCAGATTCGATCTGATCTGATCTGGTCTGATCTGATCTGATCTGATTTTAATAAGAATAAGAAAAAATAAGAAAAAATAAGTTGAACGGAATGGGGCCTTAGTCATCACATAACATCAGCATATGGTTCAGAGGGAAAGAACGACGACCCTATCTGTATTCAGTTTGCCAGTCCTTTCCTCCACATCGAAAGGCCTGCGGTTTCTTCCCTCTTTCTCATAGCAGGCGGGAAAAATGGTTTTCTTCCAGGAACCTTTGCACTATGTTTGGTTCATGGAATTTGGAAGGAAAAGAAAAGAAAATGATTTTCCATTAGTTTTCTCACCAAAATGGGAGGAATTTGGTTTTCCATCCTCTTAGTACATTTTGCTTTCTCATTTTCTTTTCCTTCCACTTTTCTTTTCTTTTCCTCTCTAACCAAACAAGAAAAAATGTTTTCCTTCTCATTTTCTTTTCCTTTCCCTCTCAAATTCCTTGAACCAAACATAGTGTTGGTCTCCCAAAATCAGGTGAGAAAGATGCATTATTAGGTTTCTTGCAATTATTAGGTTTTGTAATCATAGACATTTATTAGAATAAGGGAGGGGGAAAGGTTTTAGGAATTTACGTATGTTAGCCTTCTTGGTGGTTAGGTGACACCCATATATATATGTGCGTATCTCCCACCTCAGTATTACATAGTTTTTTTTTTTTGAAAATCTCTGAGTGATCTGTGAGGATTGTCATTCTATCAATATGTCTGTAGCCAGAGCTATACGCAGTGACAAGAAAGTTTGTTTTGTTCCACTCCAAAAGCTTGCTAAACCTGACAGCAATTCGCCAATTTTGGTGCGGGTTTCCAGACTTTGGGATGCGACGATGCGTACATCGTGAAGAACAATATAGAGCTTCTTAGTACTGATATGGTTTTGATAGATGAGGAGGTAGTATTCTGCTTAAATTTAGTTCTGCCTTTCATAATTCTTAATTGCTTTTGCATGTTTTAAATAAGCTATTGTTTGAATGCATTAGGGTTCCTATATCCATGCGCATCAAAGGCAATTTATCCCATTTGTTTCGCAACACGATTGCTGAAGGCGGAATATATTCTATTAACAATTTTGGGGTTGTTGATAACAAAAACCGCTTTCGTGTTGTTGGAGACAACAAAATCATGATTCAGATGAATGCTACCTCAGTTGTTAAACCAGCACCTGCCCAGCCATGACTACGTATTTTCATAATGAGAATAAGTCATTTATCTTTCGGGAATTACCATTGAACTTATACCCTTCTTCACTATTGTGTTTATTACTATGTTCATTCACGTCATGCAGTTATTCATATTTGAGTACTATGCGGTTGTGTTCAAATAGCGAAACTCTCACACACTATGTTTAAATAACTGCCTCTGTACGATAATTTTATAATCTCTGAGGAATTCGTTAACGTCACTTTTTAAAAATGATGATTAAAGAAGCTAAAGGATTATATGTATCATCGTGGACACCTGCACCCTTGCAGGAAAGAGATGGATACTTAGAGTCTCGCATGACATGATGAAACTTAAATGTATTATATTTACAAAATACACTATCATATTCATGCTCCTATGTTTGCATAGTCTATTAACAGGTGTCCTTTCCTTTGGATTCTCAATACATGTAGGTTAAGACCATTCCTCAATGAGCTTTAATTTATCTTTTAGACGAATAAATATGAAACCCTTAACAACAGACGCTCCATCATTGACAGCCTTATGAAGGTACAATCAGTATGATGTGCAACACCTCTAGCCAAAATTGTTTTCCCTTTTCCTGGAGGTCCATATAGCAACACTTCCTGTTTTTTAATTATAAGAAAATATTATAGGTTGACCATCGGAACAATGAACATATAACATGGGATTCATGGCAAGCCAGGGTAGGACATCACAGACCTTTTGCTGAGCAATCCAAAGAATCTCAAACAATTCAGGATGTTTAATGGGGAGCTCACTGACCTGCCTTTTTGAACAAAATAGAGAGTCATTGTGAAAGTAAAACAGAGCAAAGAGTGTCGTTTGGTGACTGGTAATGAAAACCTGTAAACTTACAAAATTAACACACACCTAAACAAAATGGAAAAGATACTTCCTTAATTTCTTTGATTTGCTGATCAAGGCCACCAATCATATCATAAGTACAGTCAGGAACGTTCTCAACCTTTGTAAGGTTGACTAAAGGATACACTAAGCTTGGTAAAACTAACAGTCTTTTAACACTTCTTATACTTAGTACTTGCGGTCGTGTAGATGTGTACTTAATGGATTGTTGTTAATATTCTATAATCTTTAACAATGCTCTAAGATGTGAAAAGTGATAATGGATTGTTGCCCACACACAGATTTGATGAAGACCTTTTAAGTCAAATCTGCAGAACTTATAAATACAATTTCAACAATGGCTGAATGTGAATATTCTATAATGACTAAAAGCCCCGTGAGATGTAAAAACTCATAATGCATTGTTGATGATGATCCTTTTCGTAGAATCTACTGAACTTATAACTTCATAGAAAAGCGGTCATGCTTTTTTTTGTTATATGTTGAACCTATTTGGATGTTCATCATGTTTTTAAAAGCTTCTTAATGGTTTAATAACCAAAAAGACCAGATTAACACCGGATTGATACTTAGTTCCTTCCCTTAATTGCCATTCTATTTTCTTCAAGAGACGAAAACTTCTTTGAACTTCATCTAACACTACCTTCGCTTCGTCTTCATTACAGATCTGAGTTCAATTTTAAAAAAGGAAACTATGTTTCAGCATCAATAGACAATAACAGGATTGCACAACTTTAAGAATTCCAGGAGCTGAAATGCCTATTTTGTTGTAGGTCCTTAACGATGTTGGCGATTTTAGTGTTTACATATTACTTTTCCTTCTAGCATTTGGGACAATTAAAAACTAACTATGAATGTCAATGCATCCACTGATCGGCTTCTAGAAATGGGAGTATGCAAAACACTTGAATACTCTGCCACTTTTGGAATGGAATCAGTCCATACGTTTATACTACCTACCCTACTACATTCGTATACTACAACTTAGACAATGCAAATAGGAATACTACTATTATATTAATATGATACTGCAACTCCATATAGGATCATGCTACATTATAAATCTAAGTTTAATACTTTATTGCAGATTATGAAGACATGTGGAAGTTTTAAGTTCAAATAAGAAAACAGTCATGATTTATTTCTTTGATGTGTATGGTTTATTTAATTTTTTCTACCTAATTCTATATTATCATTGAATTATATCACTACTCTTTGTATCCCAGGAAGAATTCTTGATGCTTTAGTAGTGATTTGAACCCTAGGCCTTTTATTAGTGACTTGCCCCTTCAATAACTAAGAAAACCCAACTATAAATTAAGGGTTTTTAGAAACCAACTTCACTTTAAACCCCTCAGACTCGGAGGAATAATAATGCAAGCAGCACTGCATGTAGGTTCTTAGCATAGTCCAACGGCATTAAAGATAATACTACCCATCTATACCATCTTTACAGAACACCATTAGCATCAACTATTAATTTTATTTACTCGGGAAGTGCTTCTTTCAAGAAGATTTACTGCTATCATTTTGGCAGGTTTGGAGAGTTTCATAACACACTTAAGGAACATATAGTAGCTGCTGTTTACAGAGCAAGTTCTAAGGTTTTTACCTAACATTACATTAATAAGTGATCGTCATTTTTATTCCACCTTTTGTTTTAGCCAGGTTCACCATTGATCCTTTCTTCATTGCTTAAAACTTGGAAATGGACTCCTGATCATGGTAAAAACAATATAACATCCATACAGACGTGTTGATAAAAAACGTTTGCAAATAATTTCATGATGACCTCAACAAACACACTCAGGAAGTAGTGAACCTGGCAAAATATTTCAGTATGTACTTTTCATATTGCCACTGAAACAAGTCAAGTGCCCTGAGGTGGAACACGTCAGAGTGTCTATTATACACTAATGCATATAGCCTTATTAAAAGAAAATATATTCTGTGATTACTTGCCAGGGAATTGGAAATGATTACATTATGTATATGTATAGGATTGTGCTGCAAGGTATATTTTTATTTTCAATATGATTTTTTACCCTTTTACAGAATTTCTAAGAAGTGTTATAGTAAAAATTGCTGGGTTTATTTATATGTTTAGAGTACATGTCAGATTTTAGCATATCATGCGTATATACGTTTGACGTGGCAGGTAATTGATCAATTATCCAACTCTATTCAAGTACATATATATATACTTTGGGAAATGAAACAAAAATACAAGGCACAGACGTTGCACACATAATACAGTCTCTACCCTAAAATTTAATTTAAAACCAAATTTAATTAGTTATTTTCATGGTTGCATTCAGTTAATTCGATTGATTGATTTTGGAATGCAAGATGAAACACGTGGAAAGGAGAGTTTGAAGTTGTGATCTTCAGGGTAAGTACTGGAGTTGGTAAGAGCATAGACTGGGTCAGGAGGAAGTTTGGGAAATGTGTTGCAACAGATATGGTAAGTGTTTGTCAATAATGACTAATGAGAGGCTTACAACATCAAGAACAAACAGCTACTTGGCACGGATATACAATTGGTTTTCTGGGGGAATAAATGCCTGCACTTTTTTTATGATCTGGCTATGAAATATTGTATTATAGTTTCAAATTTTTTACTAATTGATATTTTTTTCCTTCATTTCCGGTGAAGGCGTTTGATTTGCACTCACATACATGGTCAACTTTGAAGACATATGGAAAACCACCGGTGTGTGATTGCTCCTTTAAGATTTTTTTGTATCTCTTTTTCATGTTCGGCTCAAAATTTCCTCCAATTCTAAACATGGAAAGTCTTTTTCCTTAAAGTGCCCAATTCTAAAAATGGCATGCCTTTTGCCCTCAAGTGCCCAATTTAACATCTTCTCATTAACATGGATTTTGATATGAAAGTCTGAAATATTCTTAAATATTAGGAGGAAACCATTATTTTGAGGCTCTTGGTATCTTTTTTAGTTTATGGACCTCTGGAACTATTATAGTTTGTAGTTGTTACATCTGTTTCGGTTAATGAATACCTATCACTATGCTCCTGATGTTATATGATTCTATATGTCGACTTTCAGTTGGGGTTTTTTTAGATAAAGGTTGAGTAAGGTCATGCTGCTAATTGGGCATGCAAACTGTAATGTAAAATGGTGGGTTATGCTCGGGCTTGGTAGGGATAGGCGTGATGCTTGAAGAGCCTACAATGTGAGAAAATTAATTGGTTTTAAAATATTAATTGGCTGAAATGCTTGACATGTCTTCGAAGACGACGATTCATGTTCTGATACGAATTCTGCATACTTTATAAAATTTATGTTTTATATAGGAATTCTTATAAAGTTTTGTGGCTTGGAGATGATTCTACTTTTAGTTTCACATCACAATTCTACTCTGTGATTCAACCTGTGATTAAAAAAAAACCAAATTCTTCAACCTATGATTCAAAATCCTTTTAAACTAATGCTTCAGAGTAATTATTAACGAGGGTTCTGTTTGTTTGATGAATAGGTGATCTATTCACTTCATGTTTTTTAACCCATACATTGTATTCTCAATGTTGTACTTATCAGTTCTTAAGCACAATTGTCTCAATAAGAATCTTCAGTAAATACATGTGGTTCAATTAGTGTCTTTCCACTCATCAACTAATTGAGTATGCTTGCACAGTTATTTGCATTAATGATAGAATTTTATTGTCTTAAGGCTGTTTAATTCAGATTCAATTGGCCCTAGAAGATTCAAATGTATCACAGCTATCCTGATGCTGTAATTTTTTTAACAAAGAAGAGAAGTTGATGAATGGAAAACACATTATATTACACTAGGCTTATCCCTAAATTCAATTACAGGTTCAAACTTCCCTTATTACTCTGCCTTCAAATTCTCTCATGCTGAGATTATGATCTGATCCATTATATTTCTCTGCAGTTGCTAATGCACTTTTTCATATATTTGGTTTTTAGGTTAAGTACCTTATTGTTTAAGATTTTGGTTGTGCATACCTATTAAGTGCAAATGCAAATACTATTATATTACCACTTAAAAGAATTAGAGTTGGTGTTGCGTGCTGTATTTTATGGTTATCATAACTCTAGCTTTCTATGCTAACCAATGAATATCATTAACCAGCTTCCTTACAAATTGTTCGATGGGTTCTAGCGGCAGCCGTATAGACACACGTCCTCATCGCCCACTCGCAGGCATCATTAAACAAGCCTTTTCCTACCTTCTCACCAGGTTTTCTTCTTCCTAGTTATCACTTGATCAGGTATATATATTCATATCTATATGCTTTCATGTGTTTTCCCCCTTTGATTATAAACTGAAATATTGAAAAGGAAGACAGCAAACGGGCTTGTTGGAGTATTCAAAAACAATTTCACATACACACATTTATAAACAAGTTCCAGCTTCATCTGCTCGGCATCATTCCACAAAACTTCTGTGTGTTCCCCAACACAAATTACAAACTGATCTCTGCCTCTATCATCTGTGAGCTAATTTTGCAAACTCTCCTGCTGAATTTACAAAATTCATATGGATCCAATCAGATGCGAGTTAAGGGAAAGGAGAGGGAAAAGGATGAAGAAAGAAGGGGTATGGAGAGCGAAAAGGAAGAAGAGGTATGGAGAGGGAAGATTCAACTGGAAAAAACGGGTGTACCTACCTGAATTAGGTGCGATTCGACTGCAGACTCCCCGTTGTCCGCTTCCAACCAGCGGGAGAACTCATCTCAATATTTTTCTGGATTCCATACAACAATTGGAATTCGGGCAATCGCCCTAATAATTGCCGATAAACGGCTGCGGGAAGGCATAAGCCTCTCCCTATACAGCCCCGGGAGTCGCCGGGTTTCTGCAGGCGGCGACGACTCCCTCTTGGACTCCTCTGTCTCTGCGGTTTCTATCTGGGGACGCATCCTTTGTCCTAAATTTCCAACACCAAAATGGTTTGGTTGCCATGTGGCATATAAGACCAATATATAGTACATGGTTAAGTACTCCGTTAACAATAAACTGTCTTGTTACATCCCCACTTACTTTTTTAAAAAATTTCAACACCTTATGCTTTTATTTTGGCCTGGAGAGCGAAGAAGACGACTTTTTTTTCCTTGGGAAAGTCTTCGGGCGTTGAATGTATAAGAATTAGAAGCGTGTAAGTGAAGCAATGAATTCGCTGGAACTTTCATAACATGGGTCAGCACCAATGACATAAACATACCAATATATTGAAAGATGAAAAAACAATGAAAAAATAGACAGCTCACCTTGGATATAGAAAGTTGGCTCTTTCTCAATTAAGTAATCATTTCTAAGTTGAGCATGATATTCTTCTTGGCTCAGAATAAGTGCCTTATGTTCTCACTGTGAAGCTCCCTGCCTTGCAAATTGCATGTCTTATTGAATTGGGTGGTGTATCCCACTTGAATTGGGTATGAGATATCTCCAATATTGTTGTCTATACAATCCCAAGATATGGAGAAAAGCTCTGCTAGATATATAGTAAAAAAGAATGAATAAGATGTATAACATTTGTTAATAATGACCTGCAGAAGAGGTTTGAACCTAAAATCTTCAATAATGACAAAATGCTCAAAGGGTCAGGGTAACATCGAGAGAGTCATCTAGTGAATGAAACAAATAAATCACTACCAATAACAAAGTAATAATCTAAAACCAAAGAAGTACGACATAAGATTTTCAAAGCCATTACATGCTTTGGAATTAATTGCCCGTTCTATAGATTTTTTTCCGCAATTGATTAGTGTAGAATTTAATTATCAGAGGCTTGTGATAAGTAATAAAAACTCTCATTTCATAAGTCATATCATAGCAAAAAAAAGGTCACAAAGCCAATAAAAGAAATAAACCACGTAGCAATCAGTCGACGCTTAGAGCAAATGATTGAAACGGGAATAGCACAGTGCATCTTTCTTTGTTACCCCACCCATCAACGTGGTTATCGCTGCTTATATCTCTAAACCGACAAATCATCATCTCCCGTCATGTCACCTTTGATGAAAGTGTTTTTCCCTACGCCCACCACCCCTCTGCTGACGAATTTAACTTTCTTGACGCCATGGAGAACGCTCTACCCCACACCACCCACCAACCCAATCCCTTCCCAAACTCCCACCCTTCGGCCCACACCCCCACCGAACCAAACAGCCTGCCTACCCTGATCCCCCCTCTCCCACGGCCCAAAACAGGCCCCTGCCCGCCCAGGGCCTACGACCCAGCCCAGTTTCACAGCCAGCCCACCCAACCCGTTACCCACCCAGCCCAGCGTCACAGCCCGCCCAACCCAGCCCCCCCTGAGCCCACCTCCCATGGCCTACACCCCCAAATCTCTCCTACCATTCCCCCTCTGTAACACCTCCTTCACTTTATATAGCCAACGTAGAGGTTCGGTGTCGTCACACTTCAGAGGCTCCAACTTGGGTTTTGGGGTATACGACCCTTGATCGGAAGAATTCCCACGTCCCGCAATACACCAACTGGGTGGACGTGGTCCGCCGGATCCTGTGGCGATCATAACTTCCACACGGGCATATTGGCTGTCGATTTTGGATGCCTGGAACGCCAACCGCGTCTACAATTCGCGCTGCAACTGTGTAGCTGTTTCCCGTATGGAGTCCTTCAACTCCTGAAAGCGTGTGTCCAACGCTGCCAATTTGTCGATGAGAGTTTGTTTGGCGGCCATGAGACTCAACAAGAGCACCACTGATACAAATGTATCAGATGGGGGTGACTTCAAATGTCACCAAACTCCAAAAAAGGGGAGAGCAGGGGAGAAGAACACACGAAGGCGCAGGAGGCAAAGGAGATAGATTAGGGTTTGTATTATTTGATTCATGATTTCCTTCGTAGGGTTTGCACCCTATTTATAACAAAACCCATACCCTAAAACTATGTTATCTAACCTGACGGTTCAAAGAAAAGCGGCGAGGTAAAGAACTGTAAAGAAATTCTCGAAGGAGCTTATATTTTCATCGCCTAATAGAATCTACGTTACATAAAATAAAATGAATAATAATAAAATAACAGTCATGCCTCATGCAATATAATCATCGTGCCAAGCGGGAGGGCGCCAGGTACGCGCACCCCGTCGTACCGTCACCTCTCTTCATTCATTCACTGTCGGGTCTTCCGAAGTACCGTCACCTCTCTTCCTTTCTCCATTGTTGGTGCCCACCAGTACTTCACTTTCACTCAGCCAGACATCTCCTACTTCGTTCAACATCTATGTCTCCATCTACACGCCCCTTGAGATGTCCACATCACGGCCATGAAGCGCGTTCTCCGCTACCTCCGGGGCACCTCCACTTATGGTATGACTCTATCTCCCTCTAGCACAGACTCTCTCCAGGCCTACTCTGTGTTGAAACTCGGGCTTGTCACGTTTTTGTACTAAAGCCGTGTTCACTTTTATGACAGGTTTTGATAATGCCAAACCGCCGTGATCAAGTCAAACATTGAATATACAAGGCGAAGAACGAAGATAAGAACAAGAGCTAAATGATGACTAAGAACGAAGACCTTAGTCTTAGTATCGTTGAGTCGGTCTTTATTGTGATCGAGACCAACCCAATCTTTACACCTTGGCTCTTTAGGCTAAATTTTTTTCATTGCATTTCTTACATCATAAATATGTTTTTCAAACTTGTTTAAGTCATTAAAAACACTTGGTGTTCGCCCAAACCAAAAACCAAGCCATCCGGAGTTTGGCTTTCGGAAACCGGCGTTCGGCATTCGGTTATCGGCGTTGGTTTTTGGCACGTTCTTGAGTGTATTTGTTGTGTTCTTAGACACGTTGAGAGAAAGTATTTCTCTCGTTTGATTCAAAGGAAGGGATGTTTCCTTTGAAGGATTCGTTGAGGTTCGTGTGACTCGAACTCTCACGTTGTAAGGGTTTGTTAAGCACCGTTAAGCTTAACGAGAGAGTAGTGTGGCTCGAGAGAGTCTCTCGGGAGGCTGGATTAGCCACAAGTTGTGGTGAACCAGAGTAAATTCGGTGTGCCTCTTACTCTTCTCTTTACATCTCTTTTAAATTTTTAATTCCTGCGATTTCTACGATCAAACGCTATTAACCCCCCCTCTGGCGTTGTTCTATTATTCTAACAATTGGTATTGGAGCCCAACTCGCGTCCAAACTTAACCGTTTGAGAGTAAAGCGATTATGGATTCTTTTTCTAGAAATCTTTATGTAGGGATCGGAGAAGGTCAATCAACTTCTAGGTCACCACTCTTTGATGGCACCAACTACACGTATTGGAAAGAGAGGATGAGAATTTATATCCGCTCAACCAACTTTCAGTTGTGGTTGGTCATCAAAAACGACGAAGAAACGCCAATGAAGAAGGTCGGTGAAAAAATCGTCCCAAAAACCAAGGACGAATTTGATGCCGAAGACATCAAAAAGGTGGAGAACTGTTAGAATAAAAGACCAACGCTAGAGGGGGGGTGAATAGCGTTTGATCGTAGAAATCGCAGAAATTAAAAATTTAAAAGAGAAGTAAAGAGAAGAGTAAGAGGCACACCGAATTTTACCCTGGTTCACCACAACTTGTGGCTAATCCAGCCTCCCGAGAGACTCTCTCGAGCTACACTACTAACTTGTTAAGCTTACGGGTGCTTAACAAACCGTTACAACTTGAGAGTTCAAGTCACACGAACCTCAACGAATCCTTCAAAGGAAACAGACCTTCCTTTGAATCAACCGAGAGAGATGCTATCTCTCAACGTGTCTAAGAACACAAGTACACTCAAGAACGAGACTCTCTTATAGAGTAGATTATGAGTAAACTAAGTACGCTCAAGAACAACACAACCTTCACACAAGTGGCTCTAGAAAGCTATGGAAAATTATGATATTTGAATGCAATGAAAGTATAGATGTTGTGAAGTGAATTTTTGTGAGAAAAGCAGACCCAAACACCCCTTTTTATAGTGCCAAGGAAGGCTCCAACGGACCAATGCATTAAAGGGGTGATTGGCTTGATTTATGGGATTGAAAAGATTTGGGATCTGCAAAATATTGGCTTCCCATCGATGTTTGGAACTTACCCATCGCTGGTAAGCCAATTTTCCTTCAGTTTTGAAGTCAACGGTCACCTACCCATCGATGGGTACAAGCTTCCCATCGCTGGGTGGGAGTTTGACTTCCAAACAAGGAAAGAATCAACCTTTAATGACCACCAACGGTCATGCCTTCCCATCGATGGTATACCCTTACCATCGCTGGGTTCCCATCGATGGGATAGGCCTCCCATCGCTGGGCAAGGTCGTTCTGCCTTGTGGTAATTTTGCACCCAGGCTCTAACAGCGATGGGTGGAACTCCCCATCGCTGTTTGGCATGGTTCTGGAAACTGGTTTGGCTGAGGGGCCGCTTACCCATCGATGGGAAGATCTTCCCATCGCTGGGTGAGTGGTTAGTCAAGAACCCATGGTTTTTGCCTTACCCACGGCCTAGCCAACCGATGCGAAACCCGACCGAAAAATTCAAAGTTCTCCAAAATAAAAACC